CTAATGATTGAGGCCCCTACATTAGGTGTCAGAATTTGCGAAGGGCTTGTGAAGGCGTAGGCTTCGCAGTGGTCATGCGCAGCCCTGGACTACGCCCTCGGCCTCAGGCAGTTTGGGAGAGGGCGCCAAAAGCCAGGACTTGAGAACCGACTGGCACATTCTTCCACATCTAAACCTTGCTTTGCAAACCTTAAGCCGCCCTAAACCGCCGAGAATCCTGACACCAGCACCGCGAACATCATCCCTTAATTAAGGAAATTACTTTAAATCATATTAGGGATCCTACTATAATTTAAGGTAGATCCCTTAATTAAGGGATATTGGAGTCTCTGGGGAACTAGCAGAGCAGCCACCTTGGCATCAGGCTGTTGACCAGCAAGTTTCCCTACAAAGCTGACATTTTCGACGACGAGGTCAGCGGCTGAGTTCATGTCTTGAGGATTGCAACTGCGACAAAGTTACGGAGTGAGAGATTTCCAGCATATGAAGTGTGAACGCATGTGCGCAACTGGGTAGTGCTACCGCAAGTGGAATGCTTGGGTGAATACTTGGAGGGTCGGGTTTAAGGCATCTTGGGCTGCTGTAGTGTGTAAGAATGAAGGGTAAGGCTTTAGGATCTGAGTGTGCGGCGCTGAAGAGGTTATATTTTACATAGATGGGGCTTCATGCTTGGCAGTGAGTTCACAACTTCGCAGGCTTTGCAGTTGCAAAGGCAACGCCATTGGGCCGTTTCCCACAAGATACAGGCCTTTGTTCAAGGTCTCCTTCCTACCACGACCACCACAACCACCACAAGCACCACCACCACCTCCTCCACACCACCAGCAACAACAACATAAATGTTGCTAAATGTGTTGCACTTCTTGCATCTATACTTTGCTTAGTCTTGCTGTTTGTCATCACTGCTGCCGTTGGTGCTTCCACCAACAAGGTTGTCACCACAGCGAGTCTATGTCGTCGAAGTTACTGCTATGTTGCATCAGCAGTGCAATTCAACAACCTGACTCCAGACGGCTCCGCTAAACCCTAAACCCTAAACCCTGAACCTAAACCCTAAACCCTCACAAACGTAACGTCACGGCTACATCTGACGACAGCAAATAGCAGGGGGACCGAAAACGGGACCCTACTTTAGGGAACTACCCAACAAGTAAAGAACAGCGATGAAACTCGAATAGGCATCGTAGTGTGGGTAGCCGTAACCTTGCCTCGCCGACACCTTAACCTCCGTAATACAATACTTGGAGGGTCGGGAGACTTAGTAAATGGTTATTTTATAGACTTATAAGTACTATAACCCCAATTAGGGTCCCTTTTAGGGTACTTATAAGTCTACTTATTGCCTACTTACTAAGTCTAAATGCTATAGCCAACAACACTTAAAACCAAAACTGATGTTTAGGGTTTAGGGTTTAGGGATCAGGGTTTAACCCATTTAGGGTTTAGGGACTAGGGTTTAGGGACTATGAACCCTAAAGCCTATTAGACCCGAAGCCCAAGATGAGATTGGAACAGGCGGGCGACAACTGGGTCGGCTCTCCGAAGATGAAGGACTCGGCTGCACTCCCAGGGGACTTAGTAGGTGGTTTGGGGTTCTGGGTGTAGGGTTTAGGGTTTAGGGTTTAGGGTTTAGGGTTTAGGGTGGGTGTAGGGTTGAAGGTTCTGAGATTCTGGGTTTAGGCTTTAGGGTT